AGCAGAACTTAAAACAAGAAAATTCTGGTTTATTTTAGAATATATGATTCAAAAGCTTGGAATAGATGCTGATAAAGTTGCTGAATTAAACGTTCCGCTGTATAAGACTTATGGAACAACAATGGCTGGTCTAAAGGTATGATTTTTATAAACCTTTAAATGAATTGTATTAGAAACATTTCTTTAGACAAAACCGATGTTTAACAAGAATCAGTCCTTCTTTCTCTTGTCCGCTCTCACCAGGCAATTGGCTATGACTTTGAGATCGATGAGTATAATAGGTAATTTGTCTACATATTTGTTTCTTTTCTGCCCATTTTTCTACTTAGCCATTCATTTCAATCTAGTTTAAACCATGTGGAATTGTCCTTTGATTGAACAGTTTTGTTCATGGGAGATTGCCATATAATGTGCTGCTGAAACCTGACCCTGTTCTCAGGGGAATTCTGCAAAGCTTGCCTATTAGGAAGATTGTAAGTTTCTATGTCGCTTTCTTATGATGAAAATAGTACTTGTGAGAAATGCTGTCTTCAGGGTGATGATGATGTCTGTTCTTGATTTCCCTTTCAGATATTTACAAATGCAGATTCGAACCATGCAATTAGTGCACTTAAAATCCTTGGATTGGAGGACTGCTTTGAAAGAATCATAAGCTTTGACACTCTGAATCCCTCCAACAACACCAATCCTTCTGAATCTAAACCTACCACCGCAGAAGTTTTGAACATCTGTGAGCATTTGCGCCGGCATGACTCTGATATGGTGCTTCCACGCACCCCCCTTGTCTGCAAACCCTTTGATGATGCATTTGAATGTGCTTTCAAGATAGCAAACATTGATCCTCAGAGAACAGTAAGAACATTCACCCTTCCCTCATTAGGTGTTAGCTGTTTCCTTTAGTCTCAAAGTAACTAATTAATAAGGTTGGTTTCCTTCAAAAGAAAAAATCCATTTTCGATTACTGAGAAGCAGAAATAGGCATAGGTTACCATGTTCTCAATATTTTTAACAAACATTGATCATAAATAACCAAAGGGTATTGAAACCTCTCACGGTTCTTAGTTTTTGCATTTTCATAGTTACTCCTCTGCTGCTTCTTTGGTTTTACATCTTTTTGCAACAGATGACATTATTTATTCTCTTCTGTTGTTGTTGCTTCTGCTCTTTTCAGTTGTTTTTTGATGACAGCATCCGCAATTTACAGACAGCAAAACGCTTAGGCCTCCACACAGTTGCGGTAAGAGTAATCAAATGATTCATAAGGAACATATTTTATGTTGCCTTTGGATACCTGCACACACTTGGAATCAAAGTATTCATATTCATTCTTTGAACTAAATACATTTGTAATTAAAATCCCATGTGAATGTAGGTGGGCACATCTGTTCGTACAACGGGAGTCGATCATGCATTGGAGAGTATTCATAATATGAGAGAAGCATTTCCAGAGCTTTGGGATGATGAGGAGAAGCACGAATTTGTGCACTACAAGGCTGGAATTGAAACATCAGTAAAAGCTTAGCTTAGAAGTTTGGAATGTCTCTCATGATTTGTGATTTTCTATTTATAATGTATATGAAAAACAACTGTAGTAGGAGATGGATCACACACAGCATATGAATGTTTTTGTGGTTCATTTTTCCTGATGTTTGTGTTGGATTTCATGTTGGGTCACCTTTCTTTTAACCCACATGCATCAAAATTAACCACATCATCATATATAATACATACATATATATATATATAAACTAGGGTTGGACACAGTTCAGTAAAAAAACTGTAAACTATAGTTAATCTATACTATTTGGTACTTAAAAAACTTAAACTATTTGTACTAAAAACCAATTATACTGTTTAACAATTCAGTTTAAAAATGACTTAGTGTACAGTTAACTGTGAACTGTACAGTTAACTGTGAACTGTACAGTTAATTGTGAACTGTGATTTATGTCATTTTCTATCATAATAGTTTAGGTCATTTTTATTATGGGTTTAGGAAACACCCTGTAATGATGCTCTGTTCCATGGAGAAACTTGATGCAGTGACGGGGTTTTGGGTGGGTCAGCTTGGATGAGATAGTTCTGTGTTTATTGCGTACCCTTGGTTGTTTAGGTACAATTTGGAGAAAGGACTCGTTCTGAGGGCTTTGGTTCTGAAGCATCTTCTCTCCAGAGGATTGGTGAAGAAGGATGCTAGCATCTTCACACCATTACGCAGATGACATAATGTTTGTGTGGATAAATTATTTTATTATTTTTTGTTTCTACCAAATTAATATTATTGACGTGTATTAATTAATTATGGGAATTTTACTTTATCGTGTTTTATTTTCTTCCGTAGTTTATTTATTTATGTCTTTGGTAAGAGTTTAGTGTTGATGAGTTGTCATGAATTAATTGAACATGGAATATAGTTAATTGAATTGTAGTATGATAAACTAAAAACTAATTAACTGAACTGTACTGCAGTATAATTGAACCAGAAAATAGTTCAGTTCTGTTATTTTGAACTATTTTTTAGTTCAATGCAGTTTTTCTGAACTGGTTTATAGTTAACTATAAATTTTTACCGTGTGCACTTTGCCCACCCCTAAAAACATTAAGATATAAATCTTTATAATGTGTTTATGGTGAATTTTTCTTTTTCGATTAATTTCTCATTTTTATTTCAAATCACAACTTATTTTAATATGGGATTCAGGATAGGATATGTATTTTTATAACATAACGTATTACGAGCAAAAAGTGTGAATACTTTTTATATTGAACATAGAATAAATTTACTAAATGTCAAGAAATTGAGACCACAAATAAAATCAGAGCATTTAGTTAAACGAAAACTATTGATTCATCATTTTTAATTTTTGAATTATGAAATTATGTAATAAAGGTTTTCTTGTAATATAAAATGAACTTGATATATAAATTTAGTTGAAGTTGTCTAATTTCATAAGATTAATTTTTCGAAATTCAAAATTATTAGAATAGAAGTTAGATAGTAAAAGTTAAAGATTTTCCATCCATTTTATTTAATATTTTTACTATATATTTGAGAGTTATATTAACTCTTTCTCTTGTCGAAGCTTATCCCTTGAGTTATCATCAGCCATGGCGTCACTACTGCTAGCATCACCTCCTCCACTTTCCACTCAATTGCACACTTCCACCTCTCACCTTTCCTTCTCTCACTCTCAAACTCTCTTCTCACCACTCTCCACTCCCTTCTCTTCCATCTCAGCCTCTGCATCCTCCACACTCTCTCCAACCCCTTCTGGTACTTTCTGCAACACTAAATCCATTTTTTAACGACTTTTTCTTTATTCTGCACGAATTCTAACTCCCCATTTCCCAATTTTATGTCTTTTCTTATCTCCCAGTGTACTGTGGCAGAGGGGACAGGAAAACTGCAAAGGGAAAGCGTTTCGCCCATTCGTTTGGGAATGTAAATTTCTGCTTCCATTTTCTCTTTTCGTCAATTTCTTTTTTAGTTTACTGTTAAGCTTTTCCTGGTTCTAATATTGTGAATGGGATTGGGGGTTTATTATTAGGCGAGGCCAAAGGACAAGAAGAAGGGTAGAGGGCCGCCGAGGATTTATGCTCCGCCGGCACCTTCCAAGAAAGACAGGTTCGAAGATAACGAGGTTGTGAAGATTGAAATTGACGAGTCCCTCTTTTCTGGTTGATTTTACTGGTGAATTGTAACTTTTGGGTCTTTCGTGGTTTAGCTGTTGATACATGATTCCGTTGTGACATACACAATTCGGATTTGGATAATGTTACAGCAGATTTTGTATTCATATCCTTGACTGAAGCAACTCTTTTTGTTTCTCTCGTTTTTCTGCACCATTTATGAATGGCCTTGCTTTGGAGTTTTGGACATGGGGATTCGAAAGACTCGTAAATTGTTATTTTAAAAACTAAAATAAAGGGTGCTTTTTTTGTTAGGGTCTGTGCTTCATTGGACTGTTAAGAAAAGTACCAGATGTTAGCTTAATGCACATTGGTTTTGATCAACCCAGGGCATATGATTGATAGTGTTTCTGTATGTTAGCTCCAAAAGAAAGGCACATTCATCTTCATTGTGCTAGATATTCATAAAAATAAAAGTTTTAGGGAAACTTTAAAATAGTCTTTCTGTGTATTGTGTATCATCGTTATTTTAGTGAAACTTTAAAATGATTGAAAAAGAGTTTTTTTTTTTCTGAATATGATTTTTTTAAAAGATAATTTCTATTAAGATTTAAAATAAATATTTTTAAAAGATTAATTAATTGAAACACACAATAATATATGAATGAGAATTAAATTGCTTCAGCCAAAGATACTATGATCTCTGTGAAAAGAGAGAAAAAAAATCATTGAATTGAAAATGGTACTGTTCATTGGTGAGGGCCATCAAATTGAGGAAGGACAGTGTGGAGGGCGAGGATAATTATGACTGAGTAAAGCAACACATGCAATAGAACTGTTGTGGCAAACCGCAATCAATGAATGAATAAAGGACCACAAAGAAATTAGTTTTTTTTTCCCATTGTAGAAAATTCTATCCATTTGCCAGCCTCATGGAATCAAAAGGCGTGCTTTGTTGAAATTGAGGGAAGGTGATAATAGGTATGTCTTTGTCAGTTAACAGATGAATATTTCACGTCTGAAATTCTCTTATATCCACACAGGTGGAGAATCATATCCAACTAATGACCAATATAGCAGAAATTCTGCTAATGTGACTTAATCTTATATACCGATTGATAATATATATAGACAGATACGTTGGGCTTCCTATCTGATGATGAAAAAATTTCGTTGATTGAGTACAACAGTGAAGATAAAAATAATCGCCAACTTTTCTATTTTCTATGCTGCTTTCTACACATATAAATGAGACTATTGTATTAATGAAGATGTATATTTCATTCTCAAATAGGGGATTTAAGAGATTATGGTGTATTCTATACTTGTTCATAAGAGCACAGGTGATAATGTATTTACACTAATCAAACTGAAATAAAACATGATCATGATACATTTTTATTTAAGTATAAATACACTCAAAAGTTATGCTCTTACATCTAAAAGAATTTTTCATGGCAATGAATGAGTTATGAGGTGGTCATTCCTCAAGCAGGAATCCATAAATGGGTTATGAGTTGGTCATTTCTCAAGCAGGAACCCAACAAGAAAGAGCAAAAAGAATACGTCCTTTCCATCCTTGCAAAACCCACTTGCCATCCTCATCTACTGTAAAATCTTTATGATATTCCTTCTTCACCATTTCCTTTACTTTGTTCACGAGGTCTCTGTTCAATGAAAGTTGCTTGAACCTTGCTCTCTGGTTTCTAACCTGCCATTGCTTGTAGGTCTCTGGCCTTTCAACCCTCTCTGCCCCCTCACATGCTATGACATTGATTGCGTCCCTTCCAAACAACCCTTTCTCAAACATAAGTCTAGATGGATCTTCCCGAGGCACATTAGCTTCAAACATATCAAACAATGCTGAGAAGTGGAAGAGTGCTTCCCTGAACCTTGTCAAGAAGAATGGTGCATTGTAGGTGCCATTGCCAACCCCATGCATGAAGATGGTCGGATTGATCCTCCTGATCAACCTCAGCACCGCATCTCTAGGACAGTCTACAGTCACAGTTTCATCCGACAGGTTCTTCAATCTGTACATACAGTTAACCACAGTTACTTCACTCCTATCAAGTTTGAGGTCCTCAAGTCTTATGGTTTCCCATTTCTGAGCAAGGCAATTGTACTCAAAAGGGACTCCAAATCTCTTGCAGTACTTCTCTAAGCGTCGCCCCGTCTCCTCTACCCTTTCAGCTGGCCTAAACCCTGACTGAGGAAAATCAATTCCTGTTATACGAATCTTTGGAGGACCGCCTGGTCTCTGTGAAAGCCGTTGGATGAGGCAAGGCCACTGGAAACCATAGCTAATCCCAAAGTCAATAATGTGAATACTGCTTTCACTTTGTGTAAACTTCAGAATAGTACGGTTAGCCATGAAAAATGACATCCAGTGAAATGGTGATGATGTGACATACACTCTGTAAGCTTTTAACATATCTGCAGCAGATGCTGACTGAAACAGCATGAACTTTGGTGTCCCAGCAGCTAACCTTGTCTCAAGGCCATCGGCAAAGTAGTGAGCCAAGCGCTGAAGTCCATCGCCTAAAGGTGAAGAGTGCTGCCTAATCTGCTTGAGGATTTCATTTGCAGTCCTTGGATCAAAGCTAGCCACAGCTTGTGCGCATTGAGTTAGCAAAGTCCATAAATCCACCGTTGTTCTTGCATTTTTTCCCTTGTTGGAACCTTTCTTCGAACGTGTTTTCTTCCCATTAGATCCTCCTGAATCAGCAAGCTGTAATGATGAAGGTTCACGGTCAGATTTACAAAAGGCTGGACTCTTGCCATCATTGTAAAGTAGCACTTCATCGAACATGCTACATAACTCCGAATCATCAGAGTAGACAGCTGAAAGCTTATTGCTTCTCTCCTCTTCTTCATGTGAGACATCATCTTTCATGAGATGGCTCCTCTTCTCCCTTGATCCTTTGCCTGTCCTCGTCACACTCTCTTCAATTACGCCCGCCTTGTTCTGCGACTGAATCAAATTCCAAGCTCCATTTGAAAATTGGAACCCAGCTTGTGCCTCTCTAATCAGATCAGGAGTAACATAAGCGTGTTCCGGAGAATTATGCAACGATCTTTGTAGCAAATAAGACTCAAAATCACCAGCACCGTTAAACTTATCAGACTCGCATGAATGGTCAGTGGTATAACTGCCGTAACTCTCAGAACTAGTGGTTCCACCAAAATTATCATCTGGGTCAGGGTTATCGTTAAATTGACGAGGTGATGATGGGTAACTATGAACCAAAGCATCATAGAATGATTTTTCAGCAGCCTGGAGTCTCAAACAATCCTGCAACATGCAGGGCTTGCGCTCCAAATCATCCTCTTCATCCATGAGGATATCACTTATAAACCTGAGCATGGGATTGCAGAGTTTAGTACTCTCTGTGTGTTCTCCGTCAGAGCTTGTCCCAGAAGAGGGAGCATCATCAGAGGCAGACTCTGACGGGGAACGTGAATCATCCAACTTGAATTTCCTTCCCCCGTTCGGATTCGTAAACACCGAGACAGATGAATCATCCAACTTGAACTCACTTACCCTGTTCTGATTCGTAAACAACGAGACAGAACCGTTTTCAGATATGAACCCATTTACCGAACCAGGAAAATTGTCCAAAAGGGAATCCATGGAGAGCATGCTGTTAGCCAGAATAGAATTCGAACAAAAACAACTGTACTTTCCACAGAGATCTAGTTCCTGAGGTGCTTTGCTATAGCAGACAAGAATCTTTGACTAAGCAGAATCTTCTACCACCCCAAAGACAGAACAATAACAGATCAAGCAAACAACAATATTGAAGAAATATTCAGAGATCTAACGAAAGCAACAGTGACTCTAGTCCTATACTTTTGGAAATATAGATTAAAACACAGAAGAATGAAGATATGAATGAATGAGAGAGAGAGAGAGAGAGAGAGAAAGAGGAACCTAGTTTTGTGAGGAGTTACCGAACCAAGACAATGGAAGTAAAGAGTGAGGAAAAGTAAAGCAGAGGAAGGTCCTGAATGGGAACATCTCTCTCTATTAATACATATATAATACTAATTTACAAGAACAAACCTTTGCCCTTTTCTTTTAAGGTTCTGAAGTTTCTAGGAAGGTGTACGTGTTTTTAAGGTGTGGGTCAGACACATTTTGTCACCACTACTTTCTTGTAATTATCGTGGGAATAAATTATCAATTTTAAATTATAAATAACTAATCACAAAATACAAGTTTAAAAACACACTATAAATTTTATTTTATTTATATTATGGTATGCATGTAATATTTGGTTTTGGATAGATATCTTAATTGGATGGTTGCATAGTCTTGGTGGGTGATGTATAGAAATATGTCCTGAAGTGATTAAGTAAAAATGGTAAACAAAAACTTTAATAAAATTCTTATTAAAATTTGATAAGAATTTTATATTTTATTTTAAATCTGATTTTGACTTTAATTCATTAATAGATTTTATTTATGATTTTTTTTTTAATTTATCAAACCAATTATATTATATACAATTTACAATTTCTCTTCTTCTTTTTTTTCTTTTCATTTTTTATTATCTTTCTCTTAATTCAGATAATTTCACATTCATTAAATTTTTTCCATATATTCACTCATTTATACCTTTTAACTCATCTTATTGACAAATTAATCCTACTTTCAACTTTTATTTATGATTTTTTTTTAATTTATCAAACCAATCATATTATTTACAAACTTTTACAATTTTTTACTTTTTTTTTTCATTATTGATTATCTTTCTCTTAATCCAAACAATTTTACTTTCATTTGTTTTTTTCTTTCAAGATCACTTATTTCTACTTCCAAATTTTATTTACGAAATATTTATTTTTATTGTATCAAATAAATCACATTATTTACAAACTCTTACCATAATTATTTTTTTCATTTTTATTATTTTTTCCTTAATCTAAAGAATTTCATTTTCAACCAATTTTTTTATCTTCAAATTCATTTATTTCTCCTTTTAAATTCATTTTCCAATCCAAACACAATTTAAAAAATATATATTGACTTTATCATTATCTAGTTAGGTAGACAAAACTTCAAGTAAAAAGACCAAGATATGCATACATTTTAACAATAGGTATGTATGCATGTAACTTAATAACAAATATTTGATTTCATCCTAGCAATAGAAATATAAAGCAACTAAAATTTAATAGATTTATGATAAGTTAAGTGTTAGTTTTTAGTGAGAGTTATTGATAATTAACCTAAATTGAATTATTATCTGAAAAGAAGGAAGCAATGAAAGAAGGTTCGTTAATCAAATGAGAAACTCACATGTTGAAAGGTATCCTTGACCAACAAGTTATTGACTAAAGCGTGTACTAGTTAATTAAATACAAGTTATTGATAAAATATTCCTATTCCATGGATATGATCGTGTCCAGACACATTTGACTTAGCGTCAACATCATAAATCTCAACTACTGTCATGCCAGAAATATTATTGCATCTCTTTTCTACCTTTCAAATATTTTTTTCTTAGCAATTACTTCTTCCACTTTCGACAACATTCTAAGTTTTAAAGGGAGTTTGATATTATTATATTTACCCAGATACATCCCCCTTAAACCCTAATTCATGTTTCTATATAAATATCTACTCTCTCACTTTTTCTTTTCTTTTCTTTCTTCTCCAAGTTCACGTATCTACACTCTCTGATACAGAATCTGCCTCAGTCAATCTGTCTTGTGTTGTGTTTCACAACGGAATATTCGCTGACCGATTAAATCAAATCAAAATGGTGAGGTAAACGAGAAATTAATCAGATGGCAGATCTGCTCTTTCCCAAGTGATACCTATTTAATAATATATTTTTAATAATATTTTAACACTATATTAACATGTTGCATTGTTTATAATTATTATTATTAATTTTGAAATAATTTTGAATCAAATGATATTAAATATTGTAAAAGGATGTTATGAAATTATCAAAACGAGATCTGTTTATATATTATGATGATATTTGAGTGAATTTTAGTGAGAGAAAGAGAAGAAATAGAGAAAATGGTGTTAGCCGTCAGCACAGGAGAAAGGGGGAGACAATGGTGAGTGCTCCTGTAGTCACTTTGGACTTAAACGATTCGATGTTTGAATTTTAAGTGAAGTCATTAAAGAGTTCACATCACTCACTCTTAAATAAATTTTAGTTCTAGATGATTAGGCCACTATTTCCAATTTAAAAGTTTGATAAAATTTTTAAATTTATTAAATTTAAATGCAAAATTAAAATTTATTAAATGTAGTCATATTAATTCAATAATATTAATATTTTTTATGTATCAAAATTACCTTTTAAATTGATATTTGAGATATAACATGTCAATTGATACGTGAGATACAACATATAAAATAGTATAAATAACTTAAAAGTGAATATAAAATAAAATGTTTAATGTTTTTGGATTAGATTGATTATATATATTTGTTTTACAAATTTAAGAACTAAATTATATAAAATTTAATATAAAGATGAATTTTAATTTTATATTAAAATTGAAAATTAAAAATATATTTAATAAATTTTATTAATATAATGTTTTATTTTATTCATTTTTAACTAATATAAAATTTATGAAATTACCCTAAGTTTTTAAGAGTGGTGTTATGTTTAAAATTGATAAATAATTTGTGTTGTTTGTGATTTAAAATGCGAACACAGTTTGAAATTTGAAAAAGTAAATCTTTGTGTAGACTAGAGAATGAACTTGAAGAAGTGAAAAAGAATAAATTTAAAGATAAAAAGAAATAAAAAAAATGAGATTGTCTAGATAAAAGACAAAAAAGTTAAAAATAAGAAGAAAAATAAAAAAATTTGAGACTGTGATAAATAAAAAATTATTTAAATTGATAAAATTGTATAATTAAATTCTTTAATTTAATTTAATATTTTAATATTATTAAAATATATTAATAATATAGTTATTAAAAATTTATAACTATAATTTAGTTTATCCTATTATATAAAGTTTATAAATATAAATATTAATATATCATGACTGACTATAATTTTGGTAAATCGATTATAATTGTAAATATTTTATTAATATTTAGATTTATAATCTATTATGTTAAATTTTTATAGATTACACGTTAGCTTTTTTTTTTTTCGCAAATCCACTCTATTTATTATAGATTTTTTTTACGTAAAACTAATTTCATTTTTCATAAAATTGTCGCATATCCGTTTATATTCTGTATACACAAACAAATATAACGTATGATTGTTTAACCTCCTTGATTGTAGTTCTTATCGAAGAATAAATAGCTCGGGCATAGGAAAAAGGAGGGCCACGTGTTAGACAGAAACATGGGGAACATAGCATAGTAATATATATATATATATATATATANAAGAATAAATAGCTCGGGCATAGGAAAAAGGAGGGCCACGTGTTAGACAGAAACATGGGGAACATAGCATAGTAATATATATATATATATATATATAATTATTATTTGATTATCTGATTTTTTAAGTGATTCAATTTGTTTTTTTTTTCCTACTTTTTTAAAGCTTAATTTAGTTTTTAATATTGATTTCGCTTAAAATTGATGCTTAATTTAGTTTTTAATATTGATTTCGCTTAAAATTAATAATGATCAAGTGAGCTAGGTGACACTTAGATGAAAGGTGACTTTGGATGTGAATTCTTGATAAAAATTGTTAATTTAGGTTGAACATGAATAAAATAGGACTTTGAAAGTCGACACGTAAATTTGGAGTAACAATTAAGAATTTGTTCATTGCTTTAAAAAAAATAAGATATCGTAATGGGTTATTTGAGTGTTAATTTGTTCACTTGAGAAAAAACTATTGCATTCGCATTCGTTCATTGAAGAATAATCTATTGTATTTGTTGAATGTGAGCTTTAATTGTTAATTCGTTTCTAAATTTCCAAGTAAATGTTTTTGGGTTTTGTTTTAGGGGTCTAATATTGATTAAATGCGTGAGAAAATAAATTAGGGTTGTATTTTATTTGATTTGTCAATGGATTCATTTGAATTTGAATCCGAATTTGTATTGTGTCCATACTTACTTTCTCGATTTATGCAATGGGTGGGTTATGATTTCCTTTAAAAGAGATTATGTTATAGTATTTTGTTTTGGATATATATGTAATTTGTGTTATTTTTGTGGAAATTGCTATCTAACAAGGTAAGTGGTAGTGATATTATATAGGTTGAGTTGTCTGATGATTTTTTTAAGTTGTGGTCCACCATGATGGACCTAGACAATGAGACCTTCAAATATAGTAATAAGAAAATAAGTAGATGAATTTGCGATCTATATTGATGAAGTTATTATGAGATATTGGAAAAACTTAAAAAGATGAGTTGTTCTTTTGAGAAAGAATTATGGTATAAATTTGGCACTAACTTTATGTTGGAGAAAAAGTTACAACTCTTGTGTGATAACAAGAGTGTAATGCACATGGTCAATATTGCAAGAAAAAAATGAAGAAGTGCACTTGTTTGTAATAGGTGGAGGGTCAGGTGGATTATCATAGTGGTTATGGGGATAGGGATAGCATCGATGTTGAGGTGGATTGTCACCATATTTTACGAACCATTTATAATAATTACATTCAATAAAAGCTTCACTTTCACTCTGTTATTCATAACAATAAGATAAAAAACATTATTTTGTAGTTAGATGCATACCCAATAAAAACTAACCATTAAAAAATTCCATGGGTCTAACTTTGTAATTAGGACAACTTCAAAATTGTTTCTCAAACCAGTTCTAAGAGTTCTCAACACAATAAGCTCTCCAAGTTGCAAGTATGTGTTTCACCCAATCCCTTAAAACGACTTTTATGAAAGGAAAAACTATGATTTTGCATCTTTCACCAATTATATGAGTAAGATGAAAAAGAATAACCCATAACTTAGCATTTAACAGGTAGAAGCATCACGCAGATGAGTAAGATGAAAAAGAATAACCCATAACTTAGCATTTAGCAGGTAGAAATATCACGCAGATGTGGAAGACAACCTTGAGAACTAGGAAGAATTATATTTTTTCACCTAAAAGGACATTGTATGCAAATTATATTTTTTTCATTCCAATTACATTTCAAATTTAACATTTCTATCTGATTTATGTTCAACAATAACAAATTATTGTCTAAATGTTTACTCAAACATAACACAAAAGACTAAATTAAAATGTTTTATAAAATAAAAAATCAAATTGAATCAAAATAAAAAAATAAAAATAAAAAACCAAACTGAACCAACTTAAAAAAATTAGAAGACTAAAATCAATAATTATTTCAAAAAGAAACATATTTGTCTGGCCGGCCTTGTTTTAACTTTAGTCAAAATAGATTCCACTTAGATTCTATTAGATTCCATTCATATGTTACATTATATTTAATAAAAATGTTCTACCCGTTACACCGAGTCTAATTTTTGTAAACGATGTTAAACAAGGTTATTATTAGGAAAATGCTACCAAAAGTATTTAATATTAGTGAAAGATTAAAATGAACTTTAATAAAAAATATAAAGCTAATTTTACCGTAATTTTCATTAATTGCAGCATAACTTATGATGAACTTTCCTTGTTTTCATAGTTATCTAACTAATTTCTTTAATGCATATATATATATATATATGTGTGTGTGTGTATGTGCACATTTTTGTTTTACATGGGACTATCTACTGATATTAACTCATTATGTGGATGACTTAACACAAGATATACACAGTATTTTATATAATAAAAATTCAGAATAACCCACTTTTTGGCTTTCACTTGGATGAATGAGTGGAGTATCTATGAAGAATGAGATGTGTGGAAAGAATAGGATACAATGGCTCGAAAAGGGAAAAAGAAGCTGAGTTTACATTACTATATATAGCAAAGTAGCAGTAGCAGCTATCTTAGATTATGTATTGTTGTACTATGCTAGCAATACAATTATTAAAAGTTCATTGGATGGTCAGAATTGTCTTGTGTGTAAACAAGAAAATTGGTTCAAAACTTACCTTAATCACAATCTGTATATATAAAATTGAGTTAAATTTAAAAGTTCATTGGATTTACCAATAAATTGGTAACATGAATTTACCAAGTAACTTGTGCAAAGCTTGGTGCAATCTTCATCACAGCAACTTTTTATTCAACGAGCAAAATAAGCTTCAACATTGAACCATTCCTGCTTAAATATCTCAAATAACCATGATTTGTTAGCACGATTATAAATCAAAGCTTCAACATTAGAATCATATTAGTATGAGTTCTACACCAAGTCCAGAAATTATGTGGGCACCCAACAAGTGGAAGCATTAAAAATGCGGCCTTTCCAACCTTGAATCATCCAATTGTTATCTTCATCGAAGACAAAATCTCTGTGATAATCCTTTAACTTAGTCCTAAATTTGGCCATCAATTCCTCCTTCAATGGAAGCTGCTTGAAACCGGCCCTTGTATTCCTAACTTGCCATTGTTTGTATGTCTCAGGTCTCTGAACCCTGTCAGAACCTTCACACGCTATAACATTCATAGCCTCCCGACCCAAAAGCTCTCTCTCAATCGTCATTCTCCAATCGTTTTCACGAGGTATGACAGTGTCAAACAGATCATAAACAGCAGAAAAATGGAACAGTGCCTCCTTAAACCGTGTGGTAAAGAAAGGGGAACTATATGATCCATTAACAATGATCTGAGTAAAGATATCCGGATTTATCTTCCTGATCAAATGCAGGACTGCATTTCTAGGACTGTTAACTTCAACAGTGCTCTCATCCAGTAAATGTTCAAACCTCATGTGACAGTTGACAGCAACTATCTCATTGCTCTCAATTTTAAGGGCTTCCACCTGAATAGTTTCCCAGTTCCTTGATGCTATGGCATGGTATTCAAAGGGAACATTGTAACGCTTACAATAGTTAGCAAGACGGTGACCCGTCTCCTCAATCCTTTCAGAGGGACGAAAGCCTGGTTGGGGAAACTCTATCCCTGTGATCCTCAGCTTGGGAGGACCACCCTCTCTGTTTGATAAAAACTTTATAAGAATTGGCCACTGAAAACCATACAGGATGCCAAAATCAATGATATGGACGGTTTCTGATTTTGCAGCAGCTTCCATAATCATTGTGTTTGCAAAGAAATATGTAAACTTTTTGAAAGGGGTGGAAGATAGAAACACTTGATATGCCTTCAGGTACTCTGCAGCAGTAATCCTCTGAGAGTTCAGAAAAGAAAATTGTTCATGACCGCCAGAACCAGCCCCAACCAAGCGTGCATCAAGACCATTGGCGAAGTAGTGAGCTAGCCTCTGCGATGCATCTCCAAAGGGAGAAGAGTGTTGCCGAATCTGCTTTAGTAATTCGGTGGCAGCTCTAATGTCATTGGCATACACAGATTGTGCACACATCTGTAGAAGATTCCTCAAATCCACAGTTTCCTTCTTCCTCCCTTTTTTCTTTGATCGGTCCTTCCCTCCATCTCGCTCCTCACCTTTCACTGCTCCACTCTGCAAGGAATTGTGTTCACTACCCACGTTTTCCACACTCAGAAACACCCGATCTATAGCATCTGAAATGTCACTCTCATCAACAAGGCTAAGTGTCGATTGCTTACTACTTCTCCCTTCTTCTTCTTCTGTGGTATCTCTCTCTTGACGCTCGTGATTCTTTCTGCTCTTGAAATTAACTCCAAAATTATTGATCTGTTCCTCACCGTTTGAATGGAGACCAGTTACAAGCTCAGGGCCAAAAGGAAGAAACTTGGTAGCTTCCTCTAATCCTCTCCTGAACTGGGAAACAGAATCAGCATCATTGAACATATTCTGTGCCAAGATTTTTGCGATAGAAGAATCCAAATCTGAGAATCCATGACAAACAGTAAATGAAGGTGGCTGAGAAAGGGTGTGGGGGTTAAACTGAAGAGCAGAAGCAGAAGCAGAAGCAGAATCCGGAGAAGGGAAATATTCATCTAAAAAGCTGCTGTTGTTGTTATTGGTGGTGGTGGTGGTGGTTTCAGCTTGGGGGCTGAGAACAAGGGCGTGTTGATTAGGGGAAAGGTTACCCACTAGAGTATCATAGAAGGACTTCTCGGTAACCTGCAAGGTGAGTGAATCATAGAATGGATTCTGTAGCTGAACGTTCTCTTCCATGAGGATCTGGCTTATGAACTTGACGGTTTCTGAGAAGTCGTTGTCTTCCGGTGGAGGATCCATTCTAGCAAAACCAAGTGATTCTGAGAGGTATGATATGCTCTCCGATTCATCAAACAGGTCATCGCTGAGAAAGTTGGGCTCCATCGTTGAGGCTTTTTGCAGTGCTCAGAAAGAGAAAGAAGAAAGAAAAAGGGGGAATTCATTCATACAATTCACAGAACATGATGAAACGATGAGGATTTTATGGTTTAGAAAACTAAATATGAAGAATTGGGTGTGACGGAAGGCCATGGGGGGATGGTGAGGTTGTGTTAACAGTCACAAAGCTCCAAACAGAACCATATGCAGCAGCCCTTTGAAGTTTGACTATCATGGTCATGAGCATGACCAGTCATAGCTAGATTTTTTGATACTGTTGTCAAAATACTTTCTATTTTCATGAGTAGATGTTGTAGAAGGGCCAATCCTAGAAACTCATGTACGATGCTAATTCTTGAAAGTTATCTAGAATGGGGAAGAATGTATACTCTAAAATGGTACCGTTATAGCTGCTAACACCAGCTCATTATAGCTGCTAACACCAGCTCATGAGCCTAATGCAGGTTTCACAATATTCTTGGAATCAACATATTAAGTAGCAGGTTGTTAAGTAAGCAGTAGCACTTTTGGCTCTTTTATCTTGAAGACTCACCATCATTGATTGATAGACATGTGCAAGACAGAGCCATAATCAAACAACAAACATTTCAATATGAAAAAACAATCACAATTTAATCAGAACAATATAACTTTAATCATGTTATATTTCATATACAACTTTATAACATTGCAGGCAAACAAACAAACTCACACTCCTTTTACAAGTAAATCCATTAGATTATAGTATATTCTGAAATCAAATTATCTGCAGAAAATATACATACATACATATACATATATACATACATATACATATATACATACATATACATATATACATACATATACATATATACATATATATACATATATACATATATGTATACATACATATACATATATACATATATGTATATATATATATACATATATATATATATATATATATATATATATATATATATATTATATTCTTTTGAATGCTGGATGTGTAATTTTGGGCACCTAGCATTAGTCTAATGTTTTTAAAAATTGAATTTTTCCTGTCACTAAATTGAATTTTTAATATTGATAGTTAAGTGATAAAATATGTAACTAATTTGATCAGCAATATTGATATCTAACTAAACCCTGGATGTGTATATTTTCACTTAACTATGAATATTTAATCATCAAAATTTATTTTTTATGCATTATACCAATTCGATTTTGGTAAATGCTGTCAATATAAAAAATTTCCTTCAAAGTGCTAACGTGTTACCGGAAAAAAAAATTAAATAACAACAATTTTTAAAGAATGTGGTTGAATAAAAATCTGCTAAGAAAATGTTATTATTTTGATTTTTGTTTCATTTTTCTGGGATGCCTTTTATTATTTTGTTTTTAAAATTTAATGAAAAAACATTTTTGAAACAGTAAAAGTTTGTGATGCTAAACAATTATTAATATGCCCATGTTTACACATGTACTTTATCACAAGTTAACTTCTATTATGAATACATTTTATAATATAAACATCGTAAAAACAAATATTTAATTATAAAGAAAAGATAATCATAGTAAAAAAGGTAAAAATTAAATTAAAGAAAAATAGAACAAATCTGGAAACCTTATACAGAATAAAATTAGAGTTTGAATTTATCAACCTTTACCAATCTTAATTTTTTTATCGAAAATTTTATTCTCTATAAATACAATCTAAAACTTGAATTTCTTTGTACAAATTCATTAGTATATAATATTTTTCTAGAGATGTATATTATTATTTAAGTTATCTCGATTTTTACATATATAATATATATATCTTTACACAACCTAAAATAATCTTCAAAATTTATTTACCCAATCAATCTGTTTGGTAATAAAATTTATAAATAGTACTAGTTTGATTCTAAAACAATTAAAAGTTCCGAGGTAATATTATGATTAATTAATAGCATAAAAAATGCGTTCATATTTTTACTGACTGAGTTAAGTGAAGCCTTGTTTTGCATTGTATTTTCAACTTTCTTTAAAATGTTACAAATTAGTAACATTTATTTCAATTTTGAAAACATACAAAAGTATATATAAATTTTGTTCTAAATAGAGTGCAGTAAATATCGTTGACCTTGAATAATAATTTATTGATGTTATAATTATTTTCATCAACATAAAGTCTGCAAATAAAGTTTCACAGTTCAATATTGAAACATGTATACAGAGCATTTATAACCAATTATATTCATTAAAATTGTGTTTAGCAATGCCTAAATCAAGAAAGGAAGATCCTAGCTTGAAAATGAAAATGCCAGATAAAATGCTCTATACAGAGTGAATTTCCCCAGATACATTACATTCCTTCAATCATGTTTTATATATTTTTGACTAAATTTTTTTCAACATTCTATCAAAATCATTTCCCCAGAATAACTCTTTTTCAGCTTAGCATCAAATTTATTTCAATCACGTTTGATTTTTTAAAAGAATAATAATAGCAGTAAACTATTTGATACTTATTTCAATCAGTTATTTTTAGAACAAAGGCCAAAATCATTTCCAAATAAAATTGAACTGAAAATGTGGTTAAGATACCTCTGCTGATAGTGATTGCCTCAGACAAAGTAAACTTGCAGCAACCATACTTAAGTGTTTGTTTGTTCAAAAGTCAAATAGAATGAACTATAATAGATAAAATAGTTTTCTAGTACAGTAACTTTGCTTGTTTTATTAATCAATGATGATACCAAACCACCTTTCGATCTTCAACTTCAAGTTCTTGAGGTACTGAAAGATTATGTCAGGTAAAACAATATTCAAGAAACTTCATACTGTTATTATTTTCTAAATCCAGTTTCACAGTCTAAAATCATTGAAATTAATCAATTCATATCATGAATAACATATTTCACAATTGGAGCAACAGCCAACAGAATATGGCATTTGTCAGCATTCTTATCTGAATATTCTAGTTTATATTTAAGTAGTACCAACAAACAAAAAATTTGAAGTTCTTTGATCAGTGGAACAAATTACCCGACAATTTTAGAGAAGCTATCGCTGGAAATTATGACTTTCCCAAGTTACTGCAACAAAACAAAATTGCAAGCATCACCGGAAAAACAAACTGAACATTGTCATCTGTTACATCATGTCAATTCAGTAGCTAATTTGGTTCAAGAGACAGCGTGTTACAGATTTAAATAGAAGGATGTGAAATGGCTAATACATGTTGGTTAGAAAGAAAATAACTCGATATTTTGATCACAAGTACTCTAGCAAACATTTTACAAGGATTCTCCTACTCTAGTACACCTTCCTTACCATTAAGAAATTGCATTATTTTCACAAGTCTCTATCCTACAAGCAAAGTCAAGCCATAGTTTTACCAAGTAAAACGGTGCAAATTTTGGTACAATCTTCATAACAGCACCTGAAGGTGAAGCAAGTAGGTACCAGAACCTGAAACAGTGTAACGAGCAAAAATAAGCTTCACCATAACAACAGCCTGAAATATCTCAAAGCTCAAGCACAAGCAAATGTTAGCAGACTATAACTCGAATCTTTGACAGGGAAAACAAGAAATGGAGAGAGTAAAAGCCAGTGACTGATTCTTAGAATCACACCTTTAGTCTAGCATGAGTTCTGAACCCACTTCAGTAACATACATTATGCGGGCACCCAACAAGTGGAAGCATACAAAATGCGGCCCTTCCAACCTTGAAGCATCCAATTGTTATCTTCATCAAAGACAAAATCTCTGTGGTACCATTCCTTTAACTTGGTCCTAAACTTGGTCATCAATTCCGGATTCAGTGGGAGCTGCTTGAAGCCAGCCCTTGTATTCCTAGCCTGCCATTGTTTGTATGTCTCGGGCCTTTCAATTCTCTCAGAACCTTCGCATGCTATAACATTCATAGCCTCCCGGCCCAAAAGCTCTCTCTCAATCATCAACCTCCATTCGTTTTCTCGAGGCATGACAGTGTCACACATATCATAAATAGCAGAATAATGAAACAAAGCCTCCCTAAATCTTGTGGCAAAGAAGGGGGCATTATATGATCCATTAGTGATGGACTGAGTAAAAATATTTGGATTTATCTTCTTGATCAAATGCAAGACTGCATTCCTAGGACTGTCCACTTCAATAGACTCATCCAGTAAATTCTCAAACCTCATATGACAATTGACAGCAACAAACTCATTGCTCTCAATTTTAAGGGCTTCCACCTGAATAGTTTCCCAGTTCCTTGATGCTATGGCATGGTATTCAAAGGGAACCTTGTAACGCTTACAATAGTTAGCAAGACGGTGACCCGTCTCCTCAATCCTTTCAGAGGGACGAAAGCCTGGTTGGGGAAACTCTATCCCTGTGATCCTCAGTTTGGGAGGACCACCTTCTCTATCTGATAAAAACTTAATAAGAATTGGCCAGTGGAAACCATATAGGATGCCAAAATCAATAATATGGATGGTTTCTGCCTTTGCAGCTGCTTTCATAATCATTTTATTCGCAAAGAAATATGTAAACTTCTTGAAAGGGGAAGCGGAAAGGAAAACCTGGTATGCCTTGAGAAACTCAGCAGCAGAGCTCCTCTTAGAGGTCAGAAAAGAATACATGCCCTGTGCAACTGTACCATCCCCAACCAAGCGTGCCTCAAGGCCGTTGGCAAAGTAATGAGCCAACCTCTGTGATGCATCTCCAAAGGGAGAAGAGTGTTGCCTAATCTGCTTTAGCAATTCATTGGCCGTCCTGTTGTCATTGGCATAGACAGATTGAGAGCACATCAGCAAAAGATTCCTCAAATCAACTGTTTCCTTGTTCCTCTCTTTTTTCCTTGAACGACTCTTCCCTCCATCTGCTTCATCAACCTTCACTGCTCCACCTGGCAAAGAATTGATTTGGCTACACATGTTTCCCTCATGAAGCAACACCCGATCGAAAGCATCAGACAAGTCACTTTCATCGACATGGGAAAGTGCTGTCTGCTTGTTACTTCTCCCTTCTTCTTCTTCTTCCTCCTCTATAGCGTATCTCTCGTCCCTCTTGTGATTTTTCCCACTCAACCCATACGAGGTATCTCCAAACTTATTGAACGCTTGTTCTCCGTTTGAACCTAGACCAGTCACAAGGTTAGGTCCCGGAGGAAGAAACTTGCTAGCTTCCTCCAGGCCCCGCCTAAACTGGGAAACGGAGTCCACATCATTGAAAATATTCTGTGATAAGAGTTTGGCAATAGAAAAATCCAAATCTTGGAGTCCATGGTTGGCGGTAATTGAGGGAGACGGTTGAGAAAGGGCGCGGGAGTTAAACTTAAAAACAGAATCTGGAGAAGGAAGCTTCAACTCACTGGAATTTTCATCTGAAAAATTGTTGTTACTGCTGTTGCTGCTGGTGCTGGCGGTGGTGGTGGTGGTGGTGGTTTCAGCTTCAGGACTGAAAGCAAGGGGGTGTTGATTGGGGGAAGGAGGTAGGTTACCGGCGAGAGCGTCGTAGAAG